GTAATACACAGAATTTCCACAGTCAATTTAAACTTAACAACCTTTATAACACACGCTATAAACCACAGTGATTCACACACTTTACTTAAAGTGCCTATGCTTTACTCAATTATCTATCTCTTCAATCATGATGATTTTTCTGGCAAGGCTTATATACTAAAAAAGTGGACGCCTGGCAAACATTCGCGGGGTTCCTCGATAATTCACGATCCTTCGAGAAACTCCAGCGCGCATGCTCCCAGCGTCGCGTGACTTCTGCTGTCGTAACAATACTGATGTGTGTTTGGTCTCAAATTTAGAGGTGCTCAAAAGAAAGTAAAATAACTATGATTTGTATATAGTTTTGATAAGAAATATATTTAATACACCTATCAAAACAGATGTTTTAGGTCATAACAATCACGAAAAACTAGGAAATGTCTACTACAAAATTGTTTTTTTTTAGACTTAAAACTATGATTTTTCTTAATAATGTTAACAATTTGTGTTTAATATTTAAAATGATCAAATTCTATGAAAAAATCAACACATTCACTATATATATTTGGAGTAGCCAAATATCAATATTTTATTCATGTTTATAAAATTACAAAAACTAGTTATTTACACAACCTTAACATTCACCAATAATGTCTGGCAGTAAGTGGCATTAAGGGTTACAAAAGTTACTGTTATTCAGAATGAATTTAAAATTGAGGAAAAACAAAACAATTGTACATTTCACAAATACATCATTTATTCACGACCATGGTTTTACCAGTAAAGGCATCATCAGGTGAAACCATGGTCATGAATAAATGATGTATTTGTGAAACATACAGTTGTCTTGTTTTTCCTAAATTCTGCAATTATGAAGTTTCACCAAGTACTGACAGTTTCAAGTATCAATTATATAGAATGAATTAAGTTGCATCTATACCAGAATCTTGTTGAAGATACACTACTTAAAGGTTCTTATACAGTAAATGTAAAAATTACCTTTTTCATACTTGTGCAAGAAAGTTATGGCCATTTAGAAACTTGACTAGAAGTTTGAATTTTTCAAAAAATATAACAGAGAAAATTACTGTATTGATACAAAGTCTTGTCTCATGTGCAACAACACTTGGGTATACATTATTTGCTGCTTATATACTCTAACAATTAGATGTAAATTTCAAGTATTTGTTATATTTTTTCCTTGATACTCTGAATGCAAAATCAGCTCATAAAAATTCATTTTAAAGTTGATGACAAAATTATATAAAATAATGTGATATGTATTCCAAAATTATTCAAAGAATGCTAGTTATAGTGATTCGTATAATATTTACTAAGTTTCACCACTGGCATTAAGTAGAAGTAAAATAGCACAGTGTAAAATGATTTGGTACATATTTTCTGTAATAGAACTAAAAATTGTAACTGAAATAAAATAAGTGAAAACATGCACCTTACACTTTTAACTTGTATAAAACAGTAATTTTTGTTTTCTTGAACTTTTTTTAATTTTAAAAGAAATGATTATTTGAATTGGAAAAGTTAAACATTTGTTAATAAAAATACTTTTAAAATAACATTATAAAGACTTAACAAACACACGAAGGAAGTCATTATAGCTTATCTTACCAGAAAGAGAAGGATCATAGTAATTGAGAATCTGAAAGATATCTTCTTCATTTAAGTGTATTGCATGTTGCTGAAGTATCTGCCTAAAATCAAATGCATCAACAAGGCCTGTTATTTGAGGGTCATGACTACGAAATCTGTGTCGCAAAACTCTCCAGTTAGCTAAGACTTTCTCTCTCATTGAAAGCAATGTTTTATAGAGGTGTGGAGATTCACGTCCAAACTGCACCTATAAGGGTATTACAAAAAATAATAGTAATAGTACAAATAATATATCATCTCATGGCAATAAACACATGCACCACTAAAATTCCAAGCCTTTATAGTTTGTAAGGATGTGTATATGAACTGCTAAGCTACTTTATTTATTTTTTGAAAACAACCTTAAGAAAATGTTAGTGTTAGTAGTTTGAAAATTTCAAGAATGCAATTATAAAACATATACAAATGTAAATTCAGCTCAAGAAATAACTGAAAGTTAATATTTTCTTGAGTCAAAAATGTATTTCCAATACTACTTACCTCTTCTCACACTTATAGCTCTACTGCCAAGGTTTCTTCCTTTGCCCATCTAAGCATTGTTCTGATTTTTTCTCACTTGCTCCATTAATTTATATCCCACTTAATTGCCCTTGGCAATATTTATCTCATGACACTCTTTATCTACGTCAATGCACCCTCTATCCTGGAACTGTATATGAGCACTTCATTCAGATAATGTTATCACTTTTTCAAGACTGAATCAATCCCAGTCTCTAGCACTGGCTCTTAGTGGGGAGGAAGGGTGGGTGAGTGTGAGAGAGGTAAATATTATTAGAAATGTACTTTTTCAATTTAAGAAAATGTTAACTTCCGAAACATACATCCTCTCACACTTACAGCTAGAATCCCACATTGGTAAGGTGGAGGGGCCGGTGAGGGCATTATCCAAACAGAAAGTGCAGTGACCTGAAGGGATCTCATGTGTGCTCATCCCAAAAGAATGAGAGATTCAAGTGATGCCCACATCCCCAAAAGAGAAAGAACCATCCATGCAATAGGAGAAGGAAACTTGAGTCAGAGTCTCCATAGCATGGAGCTGGATCGGAGTCAGCTGAGTCCGATTTAGATAAGTGTTGAAAAAAGAAACCCAGATGGACGATATACTGAGTTGGAGTGAGAATAATTTCTTGACTCTGATAATAAGGCATCCCTTGACGGCTTCTGAAAGGAGAATCTGGGTGTGACATTCTGCCAACTATGAGATAGTGCCAGGAGTAACCAGTTGTTCATATAATGATGTGTGCACAGGCTTAAATAATGAAGGTGACAAGAAAAAGCTCTTACTATTTTGCAGAACACATATGGTGCCCAATGCTAGTTTGAAGGGTAGAGCGTTGAACTGCAGTACCTGACCCTTGAGCATAAAACATAGATAGCAACTGGATGACTTCACTATGGAAATGTAGAGATGGGCATCAGCAACATCAAACTTAATCATCCACAGTCCTGGTGAAAAATGCCAATGTAGGGTGAACCTTGGAGGATCTAAGAATTGGTTGAGATGAGAAAGATTGATGATCAGATGCCAATCTCTCATCTTCTTGGGTAGAACAAACAGATGGGGAATAAAATCCTAGAAGAACTGGGTCGACTCTCTCTGCTGTCTCCTTGACTAACAAGTCTCTGATAGTCTTGGAATGAAGATCCAAAATCCGCAGATCTGCTGGAGGTGGAAATACTACAGGTTGAGGGGATAGTGGTGATGGAGATGTGAACTGAATAACCAGCCCTGATGCAAGAATCTGTAGTACTCATGGATCTGTTGTAAAGGAATTCCATATGTCCAGAAAAAGTCATAACTGAGCACCCACAAACCACACCAGCATAGGGTAGTCACTGCCACCACTGTCGATGTTCCAACCAAGCAGAGGAGCCTCTTTGATATGGATGGAATCTATTTTGGGTACCAATGGATCGAGAGGCTGATGTCGGGGGTTGGAGCACTCGAATAGGGGTAGAGCTGTGACTCCCTGTAGGGACCAAAGAGAGTCGAGAGGCCAACGACGACAATGATGAATACAAATGGGCAACATCAATCCATGATTCCAATGACTGGAACACCCACAAAAATGAAGGGACGAAGACAGGGGGTCTTATGTAACTCATAGAGGGTGGCAGCAGGTAGACAAACCCCCCCTCCAACAAGGTATCTCTACCCAACAAGTCCCAAGAACACACCAGCCAAGAAACTAAAGAAAGAGCAAAAGCTGACAATTGTACCAAGGTAGATGCTAACAAAGCTCCTAACTTGTCATCAAATTCTTGTGGTGATTGCTGAGAGGCTTCCATCAAAATTTGGAGGGATGATAAATATCTTAGAGCCATTGTGAGGTTCAGATGAATCCTAGGAAATTGTGATCTGTTAAAGTTGATCACAGGCTTCATTCTGGAACCCCACATTTCCAAAAGTGGGTCTAGTCTTTAGGAGTCTAAATATGAGTTCCATTGGTGTGGTAAGCTAAAGCATGTTGTTCCAACAAACGTGGTGGACAAGGCATAGCTATCTCTTCACGTAACTGATGTGTAAACCTCCCCACATTAACAGCAATATTAAGTGATGGAGAGAGAACTAAGTATTCGCCCTTAGACTTTTCCACCATCAAGGAAGGCATAGACTCAAAGGCAACTGGGTAAAAATGCAAAACATCACATACCCAACAGACTAACTGAAGAAAAGGAGCTGGATGTGGCTGATCCAAGTTGGCCTCATAAGAAGTCTAAATTCTCTCCGGAATGTCCAGGATCAATGGAAAAAGCAGCCCCCTCCCCCACTGAATCAGATCATGGGCAGCCTCAACTGAGAGTGACCCCCCCAATGTTGAGTTATGCTAGATATCAGAGGTGGGATAGGGGAAGGCTGATTAGCCTCCATGCCGGAAATAGTAACCCGGGAATTCATGCCATATATTTGGCATGTAATATTGAGAATTTTTTTTTTTTTTTTACAAAGAACAACTAGGTGATATGAAATCGCTCTAAGTGTATAGTATAGTATGTATAGTACCAGCCAGGATAGGAGGCACATTGACGTAGGTGGAGAGTGTCATGAGATAAATATTGCCAAAGGCAATTAAGTGGGGTATAAAAGACTGGAGCAAGTGAGAAAAAATCAGAACAATGCTTAGATGGGCAAAAGAAGAAACTCTGACAGTCAAGTAATAGTTATAATTGTGAAACGAGGTAAGTATGTTTTGGAATATAATGTACTGATACAAGTAGCATATTTATACTGAATACTGAGTTCTGGAAATTTTAAAATATAATTGGCTCCAAATTCATTAATATGAGGAATTTGCATGTGTCCTTATGTGTTTCAATAGTTTTCATCAATTCTTTCTTGTGCTTTGTCTATTTTATAGGGGGTGTTTGATTTATTTTTTCTTAAAAAAAGAAAGAAAAAAGATAGAGATTGGAGTGTTAGTGCACTAGTTTTATAATACAGTTAAACTCTTGGGAGAAACTAAATTCTTGTGGCTTATTCCAAGAATATAAAATCAGCAGTGATAAGTGGTTAGCTCGTAATTGTCAGTGTGTTGTTGGATTATTGTAAAACTGCATCATTTCCTAAGGGGTA